AACGCATTGAGGTGCGTGCTGGGAGCAGAAAATACGCCATGTATTCCAATAGGAGGTGCTGAGACGCGTTTTGCACACTTGAAACCTGTGTTCCAGCATTAAAGCCTGAAACAGACTCCGCAGTCAGGAAATCGCATGCGAGAGCCTATTCAAATACATGGAAGCACGCTCGCACCAATCGCACGTACTACCTCCCGCATGCGATTGATGCGGGAAGAATTATAATGTATTCGAATAGGCTCCTCTCGCATGCGATTTCCTAAATGCGGGAAGAGTCTCTTTCAGCCTTTAGTCACGATCGACGCAAGAAACTCTGAATTTTTAGCTCTCAACTCAGTGATGTTTCCTTGTGAGTGACGTCATTGCTCTGTGTTCAACTCATAACTCAATAATTCTGTGACGTCTCTTCGTTTTGTTTGCTCTGTTGAATTTACCGGCGGTATTTACGAGTTCATTATCAGTGTGCCACTGCTAATATGTGTAAATGGGTTAATGCTTCATTGTGCATTTTGGAAACGTTATGGTGATTTTTTTTTATACTCGACCCAAGTTATGTAAGATGTCCCTTGTACATATTTTACGGTTGCGAGAGATTAAGTACGTGCCCCTGGCTGAAGGTGCCTGAGATCACCAACATGGTGCTGGTGAGCTTGACGATCTTGGTGGTGCTTCTTCACCGGCACTGATTCATCAAGTTCAGGATATACCTCCTCGTGGGTCTGCTCTACATGATGAAGTCAGTGATGTACTTTGTGACGGCTCTGCCCAAGCCGGGCTCCGTGAATTGTGATCCGAAGGCGGAACACGTGGTCTGTGAGCTGTGCCGCAAGACATACTCGCCAGCAGGTATCACTAGTTGTTTACGCCTGAAGCCATACTGCTTCGCAAGACACGTTCTAGTTATCATACTCGCCAACAGGTGTCACTAGTGGTATACGCCTGAAGCCATACTGCTTCGCAAGACACGTTCTAGTTATCATACTCGCCAACAGGTGTCACTAGTGGTATACGCCTGAAGCCATACTGTGCCGCACGACACGTTCTAGTTATCAAACTCGCCAGCAGGTGTCACTAGCGGTATACGTCTGAAATCATACTGTGCCGCAAAGCATGCTGTAGTTATAACTTTTGCCAACAGGTGTCACTAGTGGTATACGCCTGAAGCCATACTGTGCCGCAAGACACGTTCTAGTTATCATACTCGCCAGCAGGTGTCACTAGTTGCTTACGCCTGAAGCCATGCTGTGCCGCAAGACACGTTCTAGTTATCATACTCGCCAGAAGGTGTCACTACTGTTAACGCCAGACCCCTTGAGACCCTAATTTTTCGCGATTACTTTTAAATGCGTGAAGGAATTTCAACCAAGCTCAGGACATGGCCGTTTCAAGACAGGCCGAAACTTTTACAATTTAGATATTATATCGCCATTTCAATATTTCAGGCACTTGTCATTGACTCGTAATGTTAACTGGTTTTCCATCCTGGATAGAGGCTTTCTACGTCATATGACATTAGGCTCCGCCCACGACTGCGGCATTGACCCGTGCCCATCAGCGACCTCTGTACAAACGACACCCCTGCCATCTGTGAAGGACTATGAATTTCGCTGACGCTTCACGTGCTATGAGTCAATTGCAGCAGACGGTCAAGTAAATGTTAGGCTCTTGTTGACTCTTGTATATAGGACCAAGAGGACCATCACTCCTCAACCTACTACTCAGTCGTGCTTCGAACAAACGTTAACGATTCCTAACAAATACGATTTTCGATGTAGGGTATCTGTTTGAAATACGAGCGAGCCGTATGATGTGAAGCTCAGGCAATTAACTTATTATTGCGTTGTTCGATGGTTGCATAGCGATGTACAAATCGGCAGCTACTTGGTGACATCCGACATCCCATTATCGCATTATCTGCAACGCCATAGGCTTTAAATACAGGTGAATATTTCCTAACCTTATGTCAGTTATATGCCATCTGCCCGTCATATGCAGCTTATATATATATATATATATATATATATATATATATATATATATATATATATATATATATATATATATATATATATATCAGCGAACATATCAGCATTGTAGAAGCAATGCGCATTGAGCATTTATGACTCCTTAGTCATCATGTCGCTCTCTGGGCACTGTCAGCCAAGACGCTACGCACAACTCCGCCGGCTTTCGGCACCGCTCGACCGTCGCCCGTCCCCGCTCCCCGCCACAGCGAGAGTGACCGCGCGCCGGCCCGAAACCGCCGCAGGCCAAGACCACAGAGGCGGGGCTTAGCTGTGACGTCATAACGTATCACAGACTGACTGGTGATAGCCTCTACACACCGGATGAAAATCTTGCTCGAAATTTAACATTACGAGTCAATGACAAGTGCCTGAAATATTGAAATGGCGATAAAATATCTAAATTGTAAAAGTTTCGGCCTGTCTTGAAACGGCCATGTCCTGAGCTTGGTTGAAATTCCTTCACGCATTTAAAAGTAATCGCGAAAAATTAGGGTCTCAAGGGGTCTGGCGTTAACAGTAGTTGTATACGCCTGAAGTCATGCTGTGCCGCAAGGCTAGTCGGTCCCGTAGCTCAGTCGGTAGAGCGTTGGACTCCGCGTGGTGAGAGCACGCGTCCCGGTAACAAAAGTTCGGGTTCAAGCGCGACGGGCGCTTGACATTTATGAGCCTCCTGACAGGCATGGTTGCGGTTGGTGGCAGGCCGTAGCCAGGCGAAGTCAGGGAGGGGACCGGCCGTGTGCGGCTATGTGCGCACGTTAAACTTTGGACTTCAAATTCTGCCATAGTACCGGAATTGCGCGATCGGAGGGTAGAGGCCAGGGTCAACGCAACAAGCTTTGCTTAGCGTGGGCCCTGTTCTTGTGAATCCTTCCATTCAAAAGGTTCGGACTAAATTTATTTAAAAAATACATGTTCTAGTTATCATACTCGCTAATAGGTGTCACTAGCTGTACAGGTACTCCTAAAGTAATGCTGTGCCGCAACGCTCATTCCAAAACGCGCCATCGTAGGGGCGGTCAGTTGGTGGGGCGGCTGCCCCACCAATAAGCGTTTTGTCCCACCAAGTTGGGCTGATTTGTAGGACTTTGTTGTTTAGCAAACCAGTCTTCTTCGCATAGAGGAGCTTTGAAACGTCTGTAATGAAAAAAATTAGTTCAACGTTGTATTTTTTACAACTTAGCAATCGGACATTGAAGGGTTCGACAACGTCTTACCCCGCCAACTTATCTGGAAAAGCTCCACCCATGCACCGTACTCGTGGCCGCTGAGGGTTTTGGGCTGGCCGCTTTCTAGATGGCAGAAAAACCATGCTGCGTTCGGAAGATAAAAAAGGTCATAACCACTCAACCTTCCGTATTATTTACCCCGCGTTCGCAGACTCCCGGACGACAAAGTCGTCCGGCAAATAGCGCTCGATTACCGCGGCCAATCCTCCGCCGACCTTGAACGGGATTGGCCGGACGACGTAGAATCTTCGTCGTCCGGGAGACATCGAACGCGCCACGCGGGGCTATTTTTTCTTGGCTGATGTGAGCTGTGACATATTTTTAGCTAAAGAGTGTATTCGAGCAAAACAGAACATGTACACCACGACTCTGTAGGTAAAAATGTGTTATAGCACGCTTGAGAAAGCAATTAATACGAAACAGTGGGTGGTCCGTGGTATGGTGTTTTATCTTATATCATTTATGATTTAATAAGTATACCTAATTCAAATAATTAGGGTTCGCATCTCTCAATGCTGAGGACTCTGTTTGCTCTCTCCCTCTTTTTGCCACTCCCAGCTAGCTGATCCAGAGGGGGGGGGGCACTTGTGACAAGTGCTCCCCCCTCCGCGGTGCCTGAATCCGACGAAAGTTTACTCTTTTGAGAGCTAAAAAGCTGAAAAATTTTATCAGCAAAGTGTGTTTTAAACCGCACAGCGGTGCAGATAAATCGAAATCCAATGAGTTTGTGAAAATTGAGCAAACTTTTTTTTAGGGGTATGCCCACTCGCAACGTCCAGGAGTACCTTTCTGGATCCGCCAGTGCCACTCTCTACGGTATGTGTGTCCGCACCGCCTGTCTGTCAAGACTCCATTTCCTCCTCCCTTCTCTGTCCCTTTCTGTACACCGGTCTGTCTGTCTGTGTCTGTCTGTCTGTCTGTGTCTGTCTGTCTGTCCGTCTGTCTGTCTGTCTGTCTGTCTGTCTGTCTGTCTGTCTGTCTGTCTGTCTGTCTGTCTGTCTGTCTGTCTGTCTGTCTGTCTGTCTGTCTGTCTGTCTGTCTGTCTGTCTGTCTGTCTGTCTGTCTGTCTGTCTGTCTGTCTGTCTGTCTGTCTGTCTGTCTGTCTGTCTGTCTGTCTGTCGTCTGTCTGTCTGTCTGTCTGTCTGTCTGTCTGTCTGTCTGTCTGTCTGTCTGTCTGTCTGTCTGTCTGTCTGTCTGTCTGTCTGTCTGTCTGTCTGTCTGTCTGTCTGTCTGTCTGTCTGTCTGTCTGTCTGTCTGTCTGTCTGTCTGTCTGTCTGTCTGTCTGTCTGTCTGTCTGTCTGTCTGTCCGTCTGTCCGTCTGTCTGTCTGTCTGTCTGTCTGTCTGTCTGTCTGTCTGTCTGTCTGTCTGTCTGTCTGTCTGTCTGTCTGTCTGTCTGTCTGTCTGTCTGTCTGTCTGTCTGTCCATCCCCGCCATTTGCCCCGTCTGCATGTCGCCCCCCCCCATCCCGTCTGTCTGTTTGTGTGCTCCCTGCCCAGTCTCTCCAGTGCCCCACCCTTTCCCCTCCCAGCCACCCACCCTGTCTGTCGCCCCTCCTGCCCCCCCCCCCCCCTCCCCCGTCTGCTCTAGAAACATCTCTCACATTGTCTTTAGACGACTACATCATCACAGACCCAGTAACCTCAATCCCACCTCAGCGAAACTCAGTGACAGTCGCCTGAACCGACGCCCAATCAGCAGCTATTGAGACGCTGACCACCTCGGATTGTACCCCCACTTCCGGGGGGCGGGGGGGGATGTCAGAAAGCTGCAGTGGTACAGGGGTGTGTCGTTCCAACTGTCGTCTAGTTGAGAGTCAGTTCGTGGTAGGGTTGCGCTGGGACGGTCGTGAATCGTGATAACAGTTTGTGAGGTTTATTCGTGGGTTTGGTGATCGTGACGAGTCACGAAGGTACGCGTGACGTGACGCGTGACACGGAAGGTGGTTTGTGGATTAGTGACGTAAAGTGTAACTGAGTGCGTCACGAAGTGTAAAAAGTGATGACGGAAGCTGTGTGACACATCATGATAACGCTGCGGCAAAGTGACTCATGAGGGACTTCTGAAGGTGCCGACTGTGATTTGGCGTACATCGTGCATAAACCTTAAGTGTAAAAAGCTTCTTTTAATCTGTCGACTTCTGAGGTGCTAGCGGAGTCCTAGAGCGGCCTCCGTGGCTGAGAGGAAAGACTCGAATCGTCTATGAACTCTTCTCATCATCCGAGCATCTCCTCACCCAGCCATGAAGCGTCTTCTTCTCTACACCCTCGCCTTCACTTCCCTCGCCTGGACGGCGGCCCAGCTCTGCTATGATGCAGCCGGAAACAGCTTCGCCGGAAATGACGTCGCCTACTTCCTCGATCAGAGGTTCAACTGCACGATCATGATATGTAGAAATGGAACGCCGCAGGTGCTGAAGCAGTTGTGTGAGAGGGAGCTGAATGAGACGATGATACAGGGAATGAAGCCGACCAAGACGACGACCATGCCTACAGGTGAGGAATGGGGGGGGGGAGAGGACGGGGGAAGGAAAGAGTGTTTTTAGATACCTTTGTGATTTTAATGATTTTTATCGGTAGGTGTCAGCTAAAATTAAGACATACTACCTATCAAACTGATGTGTTTTTCAATCACTGGCAGATGGTGAAAGTTTAATACTTTCAAACTTAAGTTGGTCAATGCGTGTGAGCTGTGACAATCTTTCGTTGATAATTAAATGCCGCTGTGATTCATCAAATCGTGTCATCCCTCAGTTTGAATGCTCATTTTAGTCGGGCACATGCTCGTAAATTAAACCTAGGATAACCTTCGGTCGACTATTATACCAAACTCTGTATTCTACCCTTCTGTATTCAACCTCTAACCTGTGTTGTTCTCGACAGGTAGCTGTGTCGAGAACACAGCTACTTGTCACAGCCTTGGTCACAACTTGAACACAGTACTAATGCCCCGAAGCGGTGGACCAGGCTCTGATATTCTGTTCTCTACCGTCGTATTCTACCGATATGTATTTAACTTCTACCTCTGCTGTATTCCACAGGCAGCTGTGTACCGCTTCACGAATGTCCGGAGGCGGTGGACCAGGCGTTGATATTCTGTTCTCTACCCTCGTATTCTACCGACATGTGTTTAACTTCTACCTCTCCCGTGTTCCACAGGTAGCTGCGTACCCCTTCACGAATGCCCGGAGGCTGTGGACCAGGCTCTGATATTCTGTTCTCTACCGTCCGGGGACCAGGGAGTCGTCTGTTCCGCTGATAACGACATTACTGACTTTATACCGCATGTGAGTGAAGAGGGAAGGGGAGAGATGGAGGAAAGAGTGATGAAACCGGTAGAGGCAGATGAGGGGTGAAGGGCCATGTAGGTGGGAGTAGGAAAAGGTGGAAGGAAGAGGTTTAACCCTCGCCCTGGCAGGGGGGTCGATGCGACCCTCCCCCCCAAGGTTTTTCGAAGATAGCGTAAAAACGGGGGCGCGAAGCGACGCCAAATTTGGCACAGCTTATGGGGCAACCTTTTTACACATGACCTAAAAATTTCTCGTCCAGGTGACCTTGGGTCAGGTCACCAGGTCAGAAAAACCGGTACAAGGTCATGGTTAAATTTCGATTTTTTTTATGCACCTGTCCAACTCACAGTTTTGAACTGATTTTCTTCAAACTTTTAGGATGTGCTAAGTTCACCGAGTTGTATAACATGTAGTTCGTTTTTTTATGTCACTGACCTGAGGTCAGTTAGAGGTCATTACGTCATAATGTTAAGCCTATGGGAAAATATTCAATTCGGAAAATACTGGAGATATCCGCTTCGTTCTATCACTTTTGTGCTTTGAATTTTGAAACCTCAGTACATAACATTATGTCACTTGGTGCTTCTTTGTTTGGTGTACTTATCCATGGGTCAGGTCAAATGAGGTCAGCTGAGGTCAAATGACGTTTGTGCCAATAACTTACCACAAAATAAAGATACAGCTTTCAAAATGGTATCATTCTGTTCCTCTGTCGAGTGATATGCAACAATAAGCGTTTCGACCATTCTTAAGGCTTAAGTTGTACTTAAGATGTGCTTAACTTTTTAAGTACCTACACTTAAGCAAGCAAAATAGTATATCATTCGACGCGCTTTGACGTGTTGGGTTCACTGGTGCTTTTCTTTTTGCCCTAGCGTGATTAGATCAAAAGTTATAAGCGAAAAACTTTTGACCTGTTTTTAGCGAAATTTTTACATTGATACCCCCAAAACCCCATAACTATTGACCTAGAGCAACCAAATTTGCACAGGGGCGAGAACTCCTGAGGGCCCACCTACCTACCTACCAAATTTGGTGTTTCTAGGTGCCATAGGAGCCAATCGCGAGGGGAGGGGGTCGCATCGACCCCCCCCCTGCCAGTCCGTGTTATGAAAAATGCCCTGCCAGGGCGAGGGTTAACCCTCGCCCGTAAACGGCGATCTGCCACCTTCGCCCATGCAGGGGGGGGGGGTTGGTGCGACCCCCCCCCCCCTTGGCGTTTGAAAACGGAGCGTCGTAGAGCTTAGCGGAAAAGACCAACGGATTGCTCTCGCCGAGATCTCGCGATTGGTGGTATATTTTTTGGTCCTAGGTCAACATTTGACCTACTTTTGACCGGTCAAAGGTCAAATTTTCGGAAAAATAGACTTTTTTTCAACTTTCCGCGGCGATTGCGGCAAAACGGTGGGAGATATCGACTTGAAACCTTCACTATCGTGTTCCTTGATCAATTCTCTATCGTTTGGTATGTATTTCGTTTCCCTAGCTCTAAAAATGGCGCGTTGGGAGCGCCGGAAGTCGGCAAGGTCACAGTCGGCGGCAGAAATTCGAAAAATCAAAATTTAAATTTTTGAAATCTGATTGTATTTTTGGATTTGGAAGGTCCATTTGCTCCCTATAGAAGCTAATATTGCTGCATATTCCCATTGAGGTGACAAGAATTAGCAAACTAGTGGTTCGGGCGCTTTTCAAAAATAGTATCGGACGCTGTTCCTCTTGTGACGTCATAGCTCCGTGACCTGACCTGACCCGGTCAAGTTTCTTATACCAAATGATAGCCAATACTTGCCCCAACATGCATGGGAAGTTTCATCACGATCCATCAACCGATGTCCGTACCACCGGCAGGAAACCTCGGGCGTTGGCACTCAGTTTGTGAAAATCCGGCCGGAGGCTGTTCCCTTTGTGACGTCATAACTCCGTGACCTGACATGACCCGGTCAATTTTTTTTTATCAAAAGATGCGCAAGGTTTGCCCCATAAGGTACCCAAAATTTGGCGGCGCTGCGCGCCGCCGTTTTTGCACTATTTCCGAAAAACCTCAGGGGGGGGGTTGCACCAACCCCCCCCCTACATGGGCGAGGGTTAAGGGAGAAAGAATGAAGGGAGGAGAGAAAGACCTGGGAAAGGGACGAAAAGTGAGAGTGAAGGAGAAAGAGAGACTTATGAGACACTGAGAGGTAGAGAGAAAAAGAGAGAAAGAAAAAGATGCCAAAATAAGTTGAAACTGTGTATTGTTGGTAGAGTTACACTTACAAACATGCTATCACCAATCGCCTATTCAACAAACCTGCCACGTTTTGACTTCTGACGTCATTCGCAGGAGGAGTACCCCGATCTCCAGGAGGAAACCCTCCAGATAATCGCCCGTTCCGCGCTCCCCCGAGCCGCCAAACAGATTCTGACTAGTCTACCGGAGGAGACAGCGGACGGAAGATCGGAGACGGAGGCGGCGCTGGAGGAGGCCGTCCAATCAGCGGTGAGGAGGGGGACACGGGAGCCAATCAGCGGTGAGGAGGGGGCTTGAGCGACCAATTGGCGGTGTGGGTACAGATTAAGTAGCCAATCAGCGATCACCATGCATAACATAAATGATAGGAAATAAAAGGCAAGGGGTACAAATTGAATAGCCAATCAGAGGGTGGGAGGATAGAATGGTAGAGAAATAGCCAATCAGGGTGTGGTTTCCGTACCCAAATAAATAAATCATAAGCTTTCGCCGCAAAAAGTAATCTAGTGGAAAGTGTTTCCCACGAACACATCGCATTTTTTCGTGAATGTCCCCCTCTAAGATAGCGGAATTTCGCTTTCTGATACCTTTCACTCATGTCCCCATCACAGTCGCGAGCGACCCGAGAAGCAGTGGTTCAGGCCGCCGATGACTACGTGGATAAGATGGCTAACTCGACCGATCAACTGCTGGCCACTGGACAGGTACTGTTGCTATCTATCTAACGTTTACTAACTCCAACTCTCATGGACTATCTGACAGGTACGGGGCATTGTCAGTTGCTAGCTCACGCGTCAATTAGCGGGGAAATAGGCTGTCACTGCTGAGAAACATAGGGTGGAGACTTCCACTGGCGTCCAACTGGCGTCTAACCGAGCAGACGTCCAAGTTGACGTCTAACTTGGCGTCTAACTGTTGGACGGAGACTTCCAAGCTAGAAGCGTCTACATTTAGCTGTCGCCAGATAGACGCAGCCGCCGTCCAGCTAGACGCGTCTAAGACTTAGACGCGTCTAGCTAGACGCAAAATGGAAGTCTCCACCCATAGAAAACACACAACCTAACATTCATGACAAACTTCAAGTCAGGTAGTGTTGCTATCTCAACACACTTAAATCGAAAGTCTTTAGGCCAGTTGTCCATAGCATTATTCACTCCAATATTCACAAATGTAAATCACTGTGTCATAAATAAAACGGGAACAACATCAGTACGAAGAGCTGACGATATTTCTATGTCCAGAAAACGACACTCGACCATCGTTTTCTGAGTGTCGTTCACTTGTCAGTTTAATGACGCTGAAATCGCGGTGATATCTCTATCTCTATCTCTCTCTCTCTCTCTCTCTCTCTCTCTCTCTCTCTCTCTCTCTCTCTCTCTCTCTCTCTCTCTCTCTCTCTCTCTCTCTCTCTCTCTCTCTCTCTCTCTCTCTCTCTCTCTCTCTCTCTCTCTCTCTCTCCTCTCTCTCTCTCCTCTCTCTCTCTCTCTCTCTCTCTCTCTCTCTCTCTCTCTCTCTCTCTCTCTCTCTCTCTCTCTCTCTCTCTCTCCTCTCTCTCTCTCTCTCTCTCTCTCTCTCTCTCTCTCTCTCTCTCTCTCTCTCTCTCTCTCTCTCTCTCTCTCTCTCTCTCTCTCTCTCTCTCTCTCTCTCTCTCTCTCTCTCCTCTCTCTCTCTCTCTCTCTCTCTCTCTCTCTCTCTCTCTCTCTCTCTCTCTCTCTCTCTCTCTCTCTCTCTCTCTCTCTCTCTCTCTCTCTCTCTCTCTCTCTCTCTCTCTCTCTCTCTCTCTCTCTCTCTCTCTCTCTCTCTCTCTCTCTCTCTCTCTCTCTCTCCTCTCTCTCTCTCTCTCCTCTCTCTCTCTCTCTCTCTCTCTCTCTCTCTCTCTCTCTCTCTCTCTCTCTCTCTCTCTCTCTCTCTCTCTCTCTCTCTCTCTCTCTCTCTCTCTCTCTCTCTCTCTCTCTCTCTCTCTCTCTCTCTCTCTCTCTCTCTCTCTCTCTCTCTCTCTCTCTCTCTCTCTCTCTCTCTCTCTCTCTCTCTCTCTCTCTCTCTCTCTCTCTCTCTCTCTCTCTCTCTCTCTCTCTCTCTCTCTCTCTCTCTCTCTCTCTCTCTCTCTCTCTCTCTCTCTCTCTCTCTCTCTCTCTCTCTCTCTCTCTCTCTCTCTCTCTCTCTCTCTCTCTCTCTCTCTCTCTCTCTCTCTCTCTCTCTCTCTCTCTCTCTCTCCTCCACAGCTGCCACCGCCTACCACGACTACTCATGTCTTCAACCTCAACTTCCGTTTCGACCCCAAAGTACAGCGGATCGCTCTAGAGGCGGTCAGGGATCTGAGCACATCGACATTCTTCCTCAGCACCAGGTGAGGTAGCTTCTGTAGGAAATGGAACCTTAGCATTTTTTTTTCTCAGGAGCATGAAGGCCCTTGCAACAGTCTTAGTGTTGCGAGACAGAACTGGTATAATTATTTTAGCACCAAAAGTTGCTGCCGTCAATAACTATGTGACTAGATTTGGAATGAGTTATAACAGTAATCTGATGCGCGTCGGTATTCATTTTCCATGGTTCTGCACACGAAAAGAATAGCAGCCTTAGCTTTTGTATTTCTTTCAGCAATTGCCTAGATTCTATAACTTGTACTATGAATTGGAGCAGAACATGCTTTGTTTAACACTAATTCCTACCATCGTTTTTTTCAGACCACAGTCGTCGGAAGGCACCTCAGAATCGTCCACCAAAACAACCTCCCGACCGACATCCCGACCCACAAGCCCTCCCTCCTCTTCCCCATCCAAATCCGCATCCTATCCACCGAGGTCCACATCAAGTCAGTCAGGATTCATAGCCCCGGGCTATTCCTCATCTAGAACGGGTGGCGCCGCGGGCAGTGGAGAAGACTCTACGCAGGCTGGTGGAGACCGAGAGTCTACCGTGGTTCGGTTTCCGAGGGTAAATCAGGTGAGCATTAGTGCAAGGCTTTTGATCAACGGGGCTGCATAGTGCATAGGATGTTAGGGAGGATGTTGAGAATACTTTCAACTTTTTCTGTGAGGGTATAAAAGGTCATCCCTTTTTAAATACCTTAGTTAGAGGGTTAACGAGCATCTAGTGGCGCAATTTTTAGTATGGCATCATTCACTGATAATAAAGACATAAATGTTTACGAACTACCTTACTAGTACTTAAGAGGTACTTAAGAGGGGTCACCTTTCTTGTCCCTAGTTCGGTTATGTCTAGTAGACATAGGCATTATCTACCATATTTTTGGTAAGACTTCATAAATCAAACAATTGATTCGACAACAGGGTGATATGGGTCAGTGCATTTGTTTTGTTTTGTTTTGTTTTGTTTTGTTTTGTTTTGTTTTGTTTTGTTTTGTTTTGTTTTGTTGGGTTAGGCCCTTTCGGTCCAATGAGACCATTTCAGAGCCGGGAGGATGATAGGATATAGGGGGAGACATTGGTCTGGGCAGGTTCCCTAGTGAGTCGCCGGGGCTGAGCCCTTCCAGAGGACAGGCCACCCAGCCCCAAGGCACTCACTGCACCCGGCTACGGGGTGCGCTCCCTCGGGAGCAGCGGTGCCGCTGCAAGGGAGCAGCCCGCATGAGATAAAGTTGCCTGTCCAGCCCGGAGGGGGGTTGAGGCGTGGAGGAGAAGGATTTCAGTATCCTGAGGATAGAAGCACGGAACGGTGGTGATGGTCAGTGCAAATTCCACACAATATCACCATTCTTTTGTTTCTCTCCTTAGACGTGCACTGCCCTGGAGCCTCCACCATGCGATCACTCTGCCATCTATCGGTCCTCCGATGGAAGCTGTAATAACCTCCGGCAGCCGCTGTGGGGGCGCCGCCGTACTCCGTTCAGAAGGATATTCCAGAACACATACTCCGATGGTAGGTGGAGTCAGAGGGTTGGTAAGGGGTAATTGGCTGGTCGGGATGAGGTTTTGCGTGAGAGTGTGCGTTCGAAGCACGGGACTGTTCGCCGTTCGTTTTTTATTGAGCGTTGCACGATCGTCTCACTATATGTATAAAGAAATGGGACGCAGTGAAGTTGAACAATGAAGTGGTGGAGTAAAACGTTTAAAATGTAAGACTGTATAATGTGTAGATAGACTATGCCGCCGAACTAAATCAATGACTGTCTTCTTTCCCTCTACCTTTCGAAAATAATGATTATAATGAAAATATTCCTGTTTCTTGGGACAATGATCCCTTTCCTTGATCTCTATCTATTGCATTAATGCCTCCGTCTCCCGTCTCCCGACAATCGATCATTAAAAAAATCACCGAATCAAGTTTTTCCCACGGGAATTGTCTTTCCCACCTTCAGTCCCACGCTTCCCAAGTCCCAACCCCCGCCACGCTTCCCATCCTCCCCTCAGTGTAACCCTAAAGTCTAACCCTTCTGTCCATCGACTACATTAGACAGACATAACTCAATGATTTTTCCCGCAGGAATATTCTCCCCGACGTCGAGCCCCACGCTGCCCAACGCGCGTCTGCTCAGCGAGACTCTGATGGACTACGAGTCCGTGGCGGCCCAACAGAGAACTCTGGCAGTGATGACCTGGGGTCAGTTCATGGACCATGACCTGGCACACACGCCCATCTTCCAGCTCGGTGAGTCGGGAAACATGACTCTTGTCTTGTTTGAGTTGGAACATATACCGATGAATGAAATAGTCATAGAGTTGAGCCAAAACTTATGCTTACTCACATGGACGTTTACCTAAACTCGAAGCTCCATCAAACACCAGTATTTCAGATTGTCTCGGAAAGATAAAGATCATGGAAGGCAATCCTGTTTTGCCACCCCAGAAAATAAACAAAATTGGCATTAGAAATGTTAGCAATGTTACGATAAGCGCATTTCTTGCAAAGACATCATCAAATAACGTTCACGCTCGGTAAGGTAAATTCTGTCAAGGTGTCTCAATTCTGACACCAGTATGTATGACGTTACCCTCAATGTTTTCATATTTTGTCCATTCAGTAAAGGATGCCATTCTCTCCCCAGTCACTACACTTTGTCGTCATTGTCTCATGTCCACAATGACGTCATTTTCTGTACCAAATGAGATCCTCTTCTCTCCCCACTTTCAGACGACGGACACGGTATCGAATGCTGTTCAAAACGCAACTCACCACCTCCAGAAACCCCCGTCCATCTCCAATGTCTACCCATCACCGTCCGACAAGCTGACGCGTTCTACGGACCACATCAAGAGCGGTGTATGAATTTTGTGAGGAGTGTCCCTTCTACCAGACCGGCTTGTGGGCTGGGACCGGCGAATCAGCTGAACGATCTCACACACTGGATTGACTGGTAAGGATGGGACACCACTTGGGGAACAGTTTCGGGAACAGAAAGATGGTTCGGATGCATGATAATTTCGGCAGGGTACAATGTTTTTTTTTTTCACACAGGCGGATATTTTCTCAACCTACAAAAAAATGTAGAATACTGGAAAAAAAATTACGTGTGCACAGTTAAAGTCATCATAGGACCTGCATTGCCAGTTGAGGTCGCAAAAGTAGCTTTAGAAAAGTGGAAAGTAGAGAGAAACATATTTCGATGTTTTCGACATTAACATCTTTGGCAATAGTTTCGTCTATATTTTCGAATTCTTTATTGATGTATGTAGTTACATGGGGAGCATTCATTCTGGCCAGGGTTCATAATGTCCAGGGTACGCTATGCCCAGTGTCAAAATGGCCAGTGCCTTGAATGGGCCAGAGTTCATAATGTCCAGGGATTGCATGGTCCAAATGTGGCCAACTGGCTGCAGATAGGGTATATTCAAAGAGGCCAGGGTTCATAATGTCCAGGGCACGATGTGTCCAGTGTTCAAAATGGCCAGGGTTCATAATGTCCAGGGCACGATGTGTCCAGTATTCGAAATGGCCAGGGTTCATAATGTCCAGGGCACGATGTGTCCAGTGTTCAAAATGGCCAGTGCCTTGAATGGGCCAGAGTTCATAATGTCCAGGGATTACATAGTCACTAAAAGTGACGTCATTATGTTAAAAACACGAAATCAGCTCAATGCAAAGCAGTGCAGTGCCGAAGGCAATGCCTTAGGAGAGATTACAGGCAATAGTTAATCAAATATTTTTAGGTTAAGTGGTTATGTATCTGACTTCAGGCCGAAGGCCTGAAGCCTGATGCATAACCACTTAACCTAAAAATATTTGATTTACTATTGCTTGCAATCTATTCATGCGAGAAACTATTTCCTTATCCCTGGTAGGCAAACATCATTACCTTAGGTTAGGTTAGGTTAGGTTAGGTTAGGTTAGGTTAGGTTAGGTTAGGTTAGGTTAGGTTAGGTTAGGTTAGGTTAGGTTAGGTTAGGTTAGGTTAGGTTAGGTTGGGTTGGGTTAACTATGTAATCCCTGGACACTATGAACTCTGGCCCATTCAAGGCACTGGCCATTTTGAACACTGGACACATCGTGCTCTGGACATTATGAACCCTGGCCATTTCGAACACTGGACACATCGTGCCCTGGACATTATGAACCCTGGCCATTTTGAACACTGGACACACCGTGCCCTGGACATTATGAACCCTGGCCTCTTTGAATTTACCCTATCTGCAGCCAGTTGGCCACTTTTGGACCATGTAATCCCTGGACTATGTGAACACTGGCCAATTCAAGGCACTGGCCAATTCGAGCACTGGACACATTGTGCCCTGGACATTATGAACCCTGGCCTAAATAATACGCACCCTAGTTACATATCTCATTGAAAAATCCCTTCAGGTAAGAATCACAGCTTCTCTTCAGTTTACCATCTTATTATCCCGCGCCCCACTGGGGTCTGCGTATAACACGCCCTACTGGGGGGGGAGGGGGGGGCTATTCATAGCCCCCCTCCTAACTCCGAAACTACTGGGCCGATCGTCAAAATTCAAACGATGTCTGATAGCCCCGGAAAAACTGTCGAGCGAAACCTAATTTCATTGACCTCGAGTTCACCGATGACGTCACAGGTCAGGTCAAAGTAAAAATTATTAGCATTTTGGCTTGATCACGTTTTGGGCTATGGCCGCCGTCTTACAAGTCAGACCAGGCTCATTTTTGGATCACACACTCGGAAACAGATGCTCTAGTTACCCTGAGGGTACCAAACTTGTACTTTGATTTTCAGGTCAAGGTCAGGTCATCACAGGTCACGAAAATATTATATCATGCGTCGGTCACGTGACACATGTTTTATGGTCCATTTAGGTCAGAGATTTCGAATTTGATGTTGTCTGTGTTATTCGAGGTCATTTTGAGTCGAATTTAGCTTATGTTAGGTCACTTTCAGGTCAAAGAAGGTCAAATTTTGAAGTTAAAATTTTTTAACAAAAAAGGTGTCTATTGGATGCAGTTTGAGCTCAGGAACACGATGGTGCTATCTATATTGGCGTACGATGTCAAATACGTGCTGAAAAATTGATTTGAAAAATTAATAATTGTGAATTTTTTGCAATAATGCGTAAAACTTGGCCATTTTTGAAGATATTTAGCTAAAACTTGCTAGAGTTAGTCATAATAATGCGTTCTATCACATATATTCCGGTTTTTTTCGAAAAGTCAAAAACTTTTTGAAAAAAATGTAAAAATATAAATTTTGGATATTATTATATAAAATTTTCGAAATTTTCAAACTTTCGAAAATCCGAGATAGCAGTTTGATAGCGCAGTCTATTCTGAGTCCTCTCATGCAAAGAAATTGGATCTAGCTTAAAAACTGAGCTCTTGGGAGCGATTGCCGTGGTTCAATGCTTTGCGTCGAAATCGGCCGAACATGACGTCACTCTGACGTCATTTCCGGCCGACCTATAGTAGGTACGAAGTTCAAATTTTGACACAAGGTGTCAAATTGATGCAGCCTAAGGTGCTGAAAGTTTGGCGTCGATACGTCAAGCGGTTTGGAAGTTATTGCAGAAAAACGGGAGGGGGGCAATAAATAGCCCCCCCCAGTGGGGCGCGGGTTAACTTAGCACTTAACTTCATCACTTCATCTCAGGCATTTGAACGTTCTTCTAGTAACCTCATCTCACCTTTTCTCACCGTCCCCATTTCCCACCAGTTCGCAGGTATACGGCAGCGACGCCTCCGAACAGCGAAAACTCCGTACATTCTCTGGTGGACTCCTCCGTACCGGTCCTGGTGACCTCCTACCGCGGGAGGTGCCGGTGGTTACTGGTGATGGAGACGGGGAGACGACGAGCTGCCGGGGAAACGTGTGCTTCATTGCAGGTGGGTGACTGGTGATAAGTGGGGCGGGGGCGTTGGGATTGGACACAGAGTTTTGGAATTGATGCTGGGGAGTCGGAATTGACACAGACGCGTCGGGGTAGGCGCAGTAGCGTTATAATTGCGAAGGGCGAGATGGACTCTGCCGTCCAAAGGCAAAAACGCATATGTCGGGTCATGACCTGACCCGACATATGCGGTTTTGCCTTTGGACGGCAGGACTCATCGCAAATGTTGTAGTTGAATAGCATTTGAATCTGAATCGACGTTCCGTGCTGGCTGATTGAACGGGCGTTCATAAAGCAAACACTCGACAAAGGTATAGAGTGCTCAAATAGCCACAAGCGTCTTTACTCTTGTGATCATGTTACGCAGATTTTGGATACCAAAACCTGCATCATGCATGCAGACTATAGACGGAAATATTTAAAGCATAGATTCTACACAGTTATATGTTAACGATAAATACCAAGTGATATATTTGTTTCAGGCGACTCCCGCGTGAACGAGAACCCGATGCTGACCATGTACCACACGCTGTTCGTGAGGGAACACAACCGAATCGCCCGACAACTGCAGGTTTGTAACTATAACTGGTAATGTTCAATGTTCATGAGAGGAGACAATCGCCTAGGAATTAGCGATGAAATATAATTATGAATTCGGTAATGATGTACCTACATGTACATAATAAACCAACTCTACAAATCAAATATATTCAAATTGATTTATTATCTACATCATTATCCAATCTGTCATGGATAATCAACAATTATGAATGTGATATAACTACTGTTTGACCGTGGTAGTTGCTGACGATGCACAGTTCGTTAGGTAGCGCATGTCTAGCTGTTGTGTATAAACAACAGTCATGTAACCGCTGGCAATACCTAACAGGATGCTGGCCTATTCCATCGAAATTCGGAGCCCGTCGCTGTTCAGTACTGCAGTGTGCATTCAGCAGTGCATTTCTCTCAGAAACGAAAGCATTCTCTGGGCTCTTGGAGGGAAATCTTGCCATAATTTGATTGTCATAATATAGTAAAAGAAATTGCCATAACTGCGCTCTGAATATGAGGTTCATGTGTGTTTATCTTTTTTACTTCACCCACGAAATTATCGCCCCCTTTCTCATCCCCAGCAATACAGTCGGAACTTCACTTCCCCCGCCACGGATGAGGATCTCTTCCAGAGGGCGCGGAGAATCGTGATCGCAGAGTGGCAGCACATTACATACAACGAGTGGCTACCTGCGCTTCTGGGTACGTTAGCTGGCTTTTATTTCCGTTGTTCCACTTTTTGCAGATCCCTGTAATTAAGAGTTTGCTGTGCTTTTGGATACGTCGTATGGTATCAGGGGGCGTTCCCGTTTTTTTTTTTTTTACTTATAGATACCTCACTAAGAAGTAAGAAGTACAAAAACCGTCGTTGTTTACCATACACATCCCTCCGAATGTCTTCTGGGTGCTGCTATTGCGGTCTCGACCCTGTTCTCTTGTCACTTTTTCAGGATACGGTCCTTGCTAAACCGCCTCACCGTGTAAAGCTAACTGCTCTGTGACGCATGTCTGAGGCCATGTAAAGCTACACTGCTCTGTTTAAGTGCCGTATACCAAAAGTAACGCTACCCCCCTCCACAGGATACAGCTACGCCGAGTCGGTCGGACTCTCCAAAACGTACGGAGACCACAGCTTCGAGTACCTAGACTTCCTTCACCCGGGTATATCCAACTCGTTCGCCACGGCCGGGTTCCGACTGCACTCGCTAATCCAGGATATGCTGCAGTAAGGAGTTAATTTACGCTGCTGAGGAGTTAGTTTAGACTTCTGAGGAGTTAGTTTAGCCTGCTGAGGAGTTAGTTTAGCCTGCTGAGGAGTAAGTTAGAGATTTCACTCGCTGATCCAGGATATGCAGCAGTAAGGAGTTAATTTACGCTGCTGAGGAATTAGTGAAGACTGCTGAGGGGTTATGTTAGAGATTTCACTCGCTCATCCAGGATATGCTTCAGTAAGGAGTTCAATTAGACTGCTGAGGAGTTAGTTTACGCTGCTGAATAGTTATGTTAGATATTTCACTCGCTTTTTGAGGATATGCTACAGTAAGGGGTTAATTTAGACTGCTGAGGAGTTATGCTAGATATTTCACTCGCTTATGCAGGATATGCTACAGTAAGGAGTTAATTTGGACTGCAATCTCTAATGAAGGACATGTTGCAGCAGGGAGTTTATCTATACCGCGCTCACTGTAAGAAGTTTCAAAGTTGTTTAAAGAGTTGTTGGAAACTATTTCGGTGTGTAGACTGTTGTTGGCTCGGCTGGCGAAGCCCTGGAAATTTTCTATTATTTTTGGAAATTACAACGATTTTTTAGGTGGTTTACTTTCTCGCATCAAGAAATAATTTTTACCTTATTTATTTAATTTCTTACGTTGACCATATTACCCCACCTTTTCCGCCAGTTTCGTGTCGGCCTCTGGCAACACCACCACTACCGTCCCCCTACACGAAACCTTCTTCGAGCCTTCGGTACTCCTATCTAACATCGGTCAAACTTCCTCAACTGCTACCATCGGCGCGAGTACCTCTTCTAGTGGGACGAGTTCAACTTCTGGGGCTGGATCGGATGGGACGGATTCTTCTCTCGGCACATCTGATGATGGAAATGGCTCGAATTCTTCTTCTGGAGGCGATAGAACACACTCATCTGACGGCACCAGCGGTGGGGTGGACCCAAATGACGTCAGAAGAGAGATCGAGTCGGCTGCGAGTCTCCAGATAGCCCGACTGGCGCGGGGTATCACCAAGCAGTCGCCGAGGTTACAGGATCGACACTTCAGCGGGCAGATCCGTGGACAGCTGTTTGCGACCGAGTGTGTGAGTTGGGGGGGGGGGGGGGGAGATGGGAGTAGGGGACAGTGGGAAGAGTGGGAGAGTGTGAGTTTGGGGGGAGTTGGGCAAGTGAAGAAAGTGGAAGTGGCAACAGGGCGCTGATGCGGGTGGGGACCGTAGAACAGTTAGTGAGATGGATGGTACCAGTGGTATGTAAAGAAATAGAATACCTACCTACCCTTATATAGGCTACATGTCAAATGGTAACTTAACCCACGAGCCGCTGGGGGGTGGGGGGGGGGGGCATAAAGTTGCCCCCCCTTTACGTTTGGTGTAATATCTCCGAGACCGTACGATATACGAAGCTGAAACTTGGCATAGCTTCAAATGAATACCTAGCGCATATTTGAGGAAAGTTTGGTGGTTGTAGCCCTAAAGATGACGTCACAGTGACGTCATAAAGTTTTGTCGTTTTCCGATATGGAGCGTTTCCGATGTCGCTGAGCACGAAACGCAACGGTAAATGATCTGAACAGCACCTGCTGTCACTCTGACACATCTAAGTACACTTTCAACTAGATCCTGACCAGTGATCGGCGCTATATTATCGGTCTCATATGTCGGATATATCGTGAGGAAACTCGGAGACGCAAATCTATAATTGGGCTTCTGACGTCACTGTGACGTCATTTCAAGTGGGATCGACACCAAATTTGAACACCACCTCGGCTAGGTATTCAGGAATATGTGTGCAAAGTTTCGTTTCTCTATCTCGTCGCGTTGCGACGATATCGTCGGAGAAGTAAAGGGGGGCAACTATATGCCCCCCCCCCCCCCCCCCCCAGCGGCTGGCGGGTGGCGCGGAGGCCCAGCGGCCGCCGGGTTAACATGACACCACTAGGAAACTTGAGACAGGACGTTTACATTTATGATCCATTTTTTTCTGCATGATGCATAAATCATAATAGATATTATATCAAGGTTTCCCTTAGCATTTTTATTGTGTAAATTTCAAAAATCCTTCAGATATATTGTTTCCTTGCTCCATAGAACTTTTCCGCCATTATCCGATTGTCGTATCAGTGATGTCATTAACACCCCCGTTGACTTCATCCCAGGTGGGTCTGGACCTGGTCACGCTGAATATCCAGCGGGGACGGGACCACGGTCTGGCTAAATACCCCACCGTGCTGCGCTGGTGTACCGGGGTTGCCATCACTCGATGGAGCGATCTGGCCATCGTCATGACATCAGAGGTATGTGTGTTCAGTGAGCGGTGACGTCAAAAGGTGTGACGTCATGTATGTTTTAGATGTTTGACTTTGATGACGTCGAGGAAGCTGTCATCTGTTGTCGGAAGCTGTCGAGGTATATTGGAAGATACAGGCTTAAGTTGCTTTGGGTTGCATTTTGCCGGGAGATTGCCGTTTTGGCCTCATTTCTAATTTAGCGATTTGGCCACAATCCGTATGATAAATGCCGTAAAATTCAATATGTCCCGTTACATTTATATGTAAAAAAAACTTGGCAAACTAATTCAATGTCCACTCTCGCCTTTTTATGAAGAATATTCATACACCCGATTGCATTTAAATGTGCAAATCCCTGTTCAAAATAATTCGCCATCCCCGAGATTCGATCCCACGCTCTCGCCTCATTGGATCAGCTGACTGCGGACTATTTACCCACAGAACGTGGCCCGTCTGAAGAAGGTATACTCTGACTGGTCTGAGATTGACATGTATGTGGGAATCAACATGGAACGACTGGTGCCTGGAGCGATGCTGGGTGAGTGGGGAACGGGGCATTCCACGTCAAATCAAACACCGAAATCCGTCATCCCCTTCGATTTTTCTGAAAATTTGTAGGCAGACTGGGCATGGTTCAAAACTGAGTTACGTGTAATATTTTCGAAATTTGATAACGTATCGCCGAGATATAGGTCATCGAATATAGCCAAAAATGCCACACATCATTTTTTTAAATGCTTATAACTCTGGTTCCTTTTCTGGTATCAAAATTATATTAACAGGGTCTTGTAGGCAATTGATAAGGCTTTGATTTTTAATTATAAAATTAAATTGAAGTGACCTTGAAATGCATTTGACCTTGAATTAAAACAGAAAAATTTAAATAGCAAAAAACACGCCACCTTCGATTTGAGTAATTTTTACATATTATGTCCGTCACAATGTTCCTAACCATCTGTGAAAAAATTGGAGTGGGCCATTCATAACTTTCGCGGCAAACGCCGTTTTCATGTATCAACATCACGCAACCGCGCGTGACCTTGAAAGACAGAGTCAAGACATGCTTGCTTGTGTACACTTTCTGAAATGAATGATTGCTGATTAGTGATATCCCAAACTCTGCGAGAATGGAAATGCATAGTCATCGTAGTCAAGCATTCACGTTCCATTGTAAAAGTGTCTCAGGCAAACGGTATTTTGCGGTGAATTTTGAGCCGTGTGGAAATGCATCGTGAAATAAATTCAACGAAAACATTATCACGCAACGATATCTTCACGTCTTTTGATCTTCACTATACGAAAGAACATACATTTTTGAGTATGTATGAGGAATTTCTAGTTAATCCGATAATAAATATGGCAGTTAGAGTCCTGCTAAGAGTAATATGTCGCCGGCTGAGGCGGGATCGGCCGACGCGGGAAACGCAGCAGGCACAATTTTGTGTTTACACGTTCATATTTCAATTGTTTACCAACCTATTTTCAGAATTCTTTCACCATAAGATTGCCTGTACATTTCTTAGTCTTCTCACAAAATTTGACGCGAATCGAACGTAATCAGCGGTAAGGAGCGCGATGTAAAGACGGAACCGTTCCGTTCCGTCCCGGCACAGTCTACAATTCAGGCGGCGCGTAGCGGTCGGCGCCGGCTGCCGAGTCGCCACGTCGCCGCGGCGACAGGATGTTCACTTTACACCGCTATTACTAGAACAGTTGTGAACCGATTTTCTTATTGCTTGCACGATGAGATGTGCAATTCAATTCTGGACAGGTAGCCATAAGTAATTTCGCATCAATATTATGAGATATTGGCGAAAAACAGGAGGGGTGGGGCGAAATTCACTCTTCCCCCTCCACTGCGCGTGCTAACATACCTTTGCATATGTGCCATTTTCTTCAAAACTTATGAATGGCCCACTCTAATTTTTTCACAGGTTGTTAAGAATATGGTAGGCAATAAAATATATGAAAATGAGCCAAATCGAAGGTGGCGTGTTTTTTGCTATTTCAATTTTTGTGCTTAAGAACAGAGTTAAGCAAATTTCAAGGTCATATATTTAAGTCGATGCAATTCTAAACAAATGCTTAAGAAATTACCTAAACAGTAAGGTTTATTTCATTCAAATCAAACAAGTACAACCAAAGTTATGGTCGTTCAAAAATATAAAGATGCAACATTTTGTAAAAATTTGATGCCCTATATTTAGAAGACCTGTGATCAGAATGTGCAAAAAACATCAATGTAATGTCCGGGGCGACACAGGAACTCGCTCACAAATTTATAATGAAATCGCTGATGGTAAGGTGCAAAACAGCCGATTTTTGTTCGATTTGACGTGGAATGCCCCGAACATAAACGCACTGCGAGAAATGTAGCAAACAGCGGCAAACAAAGCGATAAACATACCACTGACAAATGTACTACGAAAAACACTACGACAATTACTCGGGAAATGCATAACGATAGGCATGCAATGACAAATGTGCCAATATGTCGCAAGCTACCCAAAGCACACAACTCAACACCATCGAACGGATTTTTTATATCATTTAGAAATCTGATTAAATTAAGCGGTATGCAACAGCCAAAGTGCGGGTAATACTGTTGCTAGTTGCTACTTATCTCTGATGCGAGTCTCAGCAGGAGCCAGGATGCCTAAATTTGTGTGACTTTGATGACGTCATACTACCTTATCATTTCAGGTCCGACCGCCCGCTGCCTCATCACTGAACAGTTTGTCCGACTGAGATTCGGCGATCGGTTCTTCTACGACCTTGGTGGGCAGCCGGGTAGCTTCACTAAAGGTGTGTTTGATGGAAACTTGCATCTCTTATAAAACACGCGACATTCTTGTTTGCATTATAAAAAGGTATTGAAAGGTATGGTAGGTCTTTTGTTTATTTATTTATTTATCTATTCCTTCTTCTGTTTCTTTATTTTAAGAGAAATGTATTTTTAACGTTCATTTAAATCTTGAATGTGTCATTTCTTTCCTTTCCTCCGTCTCCATAGATGATCTGACCCCTCACCCCTACCTCAACCTCCTTCTTGATCTTTTGAACCCTTACCCATGGCCTCTTGACACATCTGAATCTACACACATCAACGCTGACCTTGGCCTGACTTTTGACCTCTCTTCAACCCGACGCTCACCCAACTCCGTCGCTTCAGTTAGTCCCGTCTTCTTCCCTGTAACACCTGACCCCCACTACTGACCTCTCCGTAACCCCCACACCACCCTTGACCTTTGACCCCCCGTCTCTGACCCATAGCTCAGCTGACACAGCTCTGCCGCTTCAGTTAGTCCCGTCTCCTTCCCTGCAACACCTGACCTCTTGACCCCCACTACTGACCGCCCTGTAACCCCCCACACCATATTCATATTCATATTCATATTCACGTGTATTTGGGCAATCCTGAATAAGCTTCAGACTATTCCCATACCTGCTACATTGCATGATTAAATCGAGACATCCAGGCATTTAAACGGCACGTGCACTGTACCACACTTTTCAAAGTTTAATGCAATGCTTTAATATTACAAGCCGTGTGGTTCAAGGGGTGTGGTTAAACACGTTGAACCACACGGCTGCTGACGTCACTATCATATAGCTGTGGGCCTTTTGGCAGGTATGGGAAACACCTTCCAGCCCTAAGGCCGGGAATTCAATAAATGTCACCTCGCTTTTTTTAGCAAAATCACCTCGGGCCTAACGGCCCTCGGAGTTTTCGCTAAAAAACCTCGGTGACATTTATTGAATCATCCCGGCCCCGGGCACGAACATATTTTCCTACCCGTCGTCAACGGATTAAAAAGGAAATAAAAACAGAAGGACAAACCAGAAACACACGGCTCACACACTCTAAAATGGACTCACTCACCTTTGACTTTTGAAACTCACCACCTTTGACCTTTGACCTCCTCTCTGACCCGCAGCACAGCTGACCCAACTCCGCCGCTCCAGTTGGTCCCGTCTTCTCTGCGATACAGTCGGAGCCGACTTCTCAGCCATCCAGCCTCTGGCGTTCTTCCAGCCGAACAACGTCTTCAATCCCGTGACCGACTGTAGCTTACTGCCTGGTATGGATCTGAGTGTATTTTAGAGTTAGTGACGTCATATATGGTTGCCAGATGAGTTTTTAGGGTTAATGACGCCATACAGTGTCACCAGATGAGTCTCGTGTTGGTCATGATATGAAGTGCTGGAATATTATTTCTAGTGTCGACCTCTCTAGCGTGAAGCTGAGTCTCTTAGTGCCAATTATATCACAGAGTGCTAAAAAGAGTTTCTATTGGGGCAGGTAAGAAGTGCAGAAATTGGCGTTAAACATTCCTGCAAGATTTTTCTATGCTGAATGGAGCTATTTTAAAACCGCTGATGTCGAGCAATGCTGTTGGTTGGTTGGTTGGTTGGTTGGTTGGTTGGTTGGTTGGTTGGTGTCGATAAACTTTTTTAGTACTGATGACGTCATAGAATGTTGCCAAAGCTGAACTGTGGCATCAGTAGTGTATATTTATTAATGGAGAGAAAGCATGTTCTATTGTATGCCTTACAGAGTATTAGATGACATGTAAGGGACGCTAAGGTTGTAACAGCAGCATCATACTCAGATAAATGCGATTAACACATAACTCAACGGCAGCATGTATTTTACGTAACAAAGGTGTGGTCCTATTTCGTTTCAATAAATGCGTCAATGTGAAATAAACATGTCTGCGCCGGGCAAGTGCAGTTTTAATTATGTTAAGTCTTCGAATGGTTATTGAACTTATATACAGTTGACGTTAAACGATACATAGATCAACAAATACATTTTCTAGAGTTGAAGGAAAATCTTGGATGTAGGATCTTGATGTTTTTTTTTTTTTGCATGTCACACTTTTGCTATTTATGAGCTGATAACACAGATGCGATATTCATGAAAACACCATTACAACTAAATGCACATCATCACACTTAATTACAGTTAATTAAATTAATGTTTCATCATGGCATGCTTAATGTCTGCTTCATTGTTTGGTAAAGAAGGCAATAAACGACCGCTTGCTCTTGACGATAACATTCGCTGACGTTGTTTTGGACTGGTTTTAGAGCTGCGTATGTGAACTCTTTAAGCCGAGCTATAATCCAGATTTGTAGCCCATTGTATTTCTGTAATACATACGCTAGATATGAAATAAAAGCTTAAACGGTGCAGCAGTGTTTCAGTTGTAAATGACCCCGCATGGACACAGTTTTGTCAATGAGGCATGAATTCTGCGTTGGGTGACGCTTGTGGTAAACGAGGAAACGACACTGACAACCTTAGTGTATATTATTCATCCAAAGTGGATAGGTCTTTACAGAAGGGGATCCATGAATGGATATCCAACGCGAATGATTTGTTTGTTTCTAATTTGTGACTGACAGGACCGTGAGTCGCGGCAGGACCATGTGTAGTGTGCCTGTGTTCTTGTGTCCTCAAAATATGTAACCTTTTACGAAAAGGACAAAAGAAAGGACTTCGGTATGAGTTCAAAGCACTGGCACTAATACAAACTGATTAATCACTTTCTGTGTGTAAAAACGTTTATCCATCTAAGAAGCTGCTGCGGGCTTAAAATGTGGGTAGAAGGATAAGCCAGAGAAAATAATGGTTGATTCCTGACATTTGCATTTCCGACATACCTATGTTAGTTTCATGCATGAAATATGTGTGAGAATCTTAAGCTTAACACGTGAATGTGATTCATGATAAAGCATTTTCTTTTGTTTGAAGTAGCGTCTTGATAATTTAAATGTGCGAAAAAAACGAAAATAAACTCGAAGTGCACACACTCATCAGAGCTTATGCCTCAACGTTTTGTTGGAGTCCACCGGTTGCCATAGTAACGCTCGCGCTTGCTTACATAACAGCCCATTCCCATCGACCTTGCAGTTGTTTCACACCATGCGACTGTAACCACTGACTTACAGCCTGTCCAGTAAAGCGATGTCAACATTACACACAACGAACACACCAAACAAGGCGAATAATGGCGACATAGCTGTCTAATAGCGTCTGGACGGAGTCATAATTAAGAAGGTGTGTTGCAGCATATTAGTCGCAATCCCAATACAAGTGATAACCTCGGCGAATTGTCAAGGCGATTAGTGTATGACAAGGTACACAATATTCGCTCTTAATGGCGCCATGTCAACAGAATACTGTAGATACGTGCTCGGTATGGTAAAATTTCTTGGTAGAATTGTTATTGATAAACACGCAGGCTAGACTGAGCATTGAGCAATGCTGCTTACGTACATAGTGGTGTAATTATTTACTGCAATTACGCGATGGGTGAATATAAGTAAGAATTTTTCTGTTTGTGACCGAAATGATTAATTGCACTCCATACAAATGAGGTTTTAGAATGAAAAAAACAGCCACTGCGTAAAAAAAATCCTCTGATCAACAACCGTGAGAATTTATATCCTTCTTTCACCTAATCAGCTTACGACCTAGCTGGTTATACCAGAGCTGGGCTGCGGAGTCGATGTATTTTCCGTTTTCGGTAACCCCGACTCCTCACTCCGACTCCGACTCCGGCTTTCAAAAACCGATTCTATGTAACTCCGACTCCGACTCCACGGATCTGGCAGGGCTGCGGAGTCAATGGATGTTCGGTGAGTCCGACTCCGACCCCGGTCTCCCAAATCGACTCCGACATCGACTCTGGGCAGAACTGTCGACTCCGACTGGCTCCGACTAAGACTCCGACTCAGACTCCACAGCCCTGTACCAGAGAGTTGCTTTTGGTAATTTTATAAGCAGGCGCTGCTGCAAATATAAGGGTGTCACCACCAGGCCATGCATCATTCATATCAGCAACACAGTCATGCTCATTCATTAAGACACGCCTCACTAAAACCTCCCATTAACTGCTCCACTACAAACATGCTTTCCCAGAACGACTGCCTCGCCCAATGTCTTCAACACTGCCTCGCTCAATTTTCTTCAACAATTAACTTAAACCGGTTGAGCCATAAACCCACAACAGTGTTTTCCATCAAAAATAACTGGTGACACGGTGGATCCCTGCATAAATAATGCACGAGCACGACCAAACAAGATTACGCCAGTCTGGGTTAACTGCTGATGATAACGAAAGTGTATTGCTGGAGGGAATAGCGACAATGTCATAGGAGGGTCGTTGTGATAATTTAGGTGTCACGGAGTGTTTTAGGGAGCGGTACAGAGCCACGCGTGTTTCACGTGATGGGGTCAAGGCTTGACTGAGATTGAGTGACTGTGTGTTGTGGGAGTTGTGTGTGTGTCAATAGGGAGTCATGAGTTAGTTATTGGGGTCACATTGTGTTGTGTCGGGTGCATGTTGTGTTGCATCGTGTTGTCCTGTGTTGTGTTGTGTTGTGTTGTGTTGTGTTGTGTTGTATTGTATTGTATTGTGTTGTGTTGTGTTGCGTTATGTTGTGTTGTGTTGTGTTGTGTTGTGTTGTGTTGTGTTGTGTTGTGTTGTGTTTCTTGTGGTGTCGTGTCCCGTATTTGGTCATGCTCCGTATTGTGCCGTGTTCCGTATTGGCACGTTCCGTATTGTGTCATAGGTATTGCGTATTGTGTCATGTTCCGTATTATCATGTTCAGTATTGTATTGTGTGTTGACTGTCGATTCAGTTGCTTCGTGTCATTTCTAGTTATCTCAAAACATGTCTGGTCAGATAGCTACATGTCAAGTCATTCGTGTCAGGGTCAGAATGTGTCACAGACACCAACCCCTACACCGTCTGACACTGTCAGTGACAGTGTCCATTGTCACTGACATTTCGCATTGTCACTGATGACACTGTCCTTGACAGCTAAGACTCTGTTGCAACTGCCACCTCTGTTGTGACACGACTAGCCCATTCATTCCACAGCATATCGTTAATGCCTATATGCAGGACCCCGTCATGCTTAGTTAGCAACGTCTCTCAGTTTGCAGAATCGTTATCATGTTATTCATGTTTACCCAACACGCAATGGGAGCAGGATTATCATTACGACGCGAATAAACATTGAACGCGGAGACTTAGCAAAAGCAATGGCATTAAATTTTGGCGCAAACAAACAATATCAGTACCTTTGGAGAGTTCATGATTAGGAGGAAACGGTGCTTAGACTTTGAAGCGTGCCGTTGCTACGGAATTGGATGAGTGATCAAAAAAAGCAGGAGCATGAGGCGTGACTATAAGTCTCCGGTTAGGGAAATCATATGTGTACGAAGGTTGAAATGAGGTTGAAGTGTATGTGGATGTATGAGGTGACATGAAAACTATTGGACGGTGTTCTGTTCTTCCTCTGTTCTGTACTACTTCAGTACACACATGGCTCTGGATGCGGTCCTCGCTGTATTTCTGGCCTCGAGCAACAGAACACCATAATGCACCACTCTCCGTCACGATACCACCGGCCTCCACGCACGCACTCGGCGGACTCCCGAGCACCAGCCTCCCGGTCCCGCTGCACGATCAGCTGATCGCTCTAATGGACGGAGACAGCGGACCCTGGCGGACGGCGGCCGAACTACCGGAGCTAGATGTCACCACTGTACAGGCCAGCTCCCCGCCGTCTACATACTCCGCTGTGTCAAGAACATAACAATTCCTCTTCCCTTAGCTTTTTAAGTTCTATCCCCTACATAATCCGCACTGTTCATACGATAATAATGCATTTGCGACACAACATACTCCGTTGGCACAGCGACAGTATCTTTCAGACCCAAAACTGATACGCGGAACAAAACTAACAAAAAACAATCCATGAACAATCCAACACTCGCCATTCACTTGACAGGTTCACGTAGATCCATACCAGTCCGGAGGTCGGAGTCGAGATCGGTCACGGAGCGCATACCGATGTGCACCAGAAACCGACTGTCCCCCGGAGTCACCAGCTGTAGCCGCGGAGCTCGGAATAACCGCGTCGCCACGGTTTCCTTCCTCCGTATGCTGACCTCCCACCGGCTTGTTCAGCTCTGAAGTAGGCTCGGATACGTTACTGCTGGCGTCTTTCTTCCTTTCTTCTGTTTCCATATTCCTTTCGTCCTTCTTCTGTTTCGTTTGTTCGTCCACCTTCTCTGCTCGATCTGTCTTCTTTGACCACTGTTCTTTTTGATCGGTTTCGTCTTCTCTTCTTCCTTCGTAGTTTCTTTCTTCCTCCTCTCTCGGTTGTTTCGTTTGGCGTAGTCTGTCTTCTTCTTCTTCGTTCAGCTGTCTCGGTCTTCTGTCTTCCTGGCTTTCAGCTTCATTCTTGCTTTCACGACCTCGTATGTGATCGATATGTCGAGTGAACACCCGACCATCGTCCAGCTTCAGTTCGCACAGCTGACTGCGGACGGACGTTACGACTGCAGCATGCCACCTCGGCTCTCCTCTTCCCACTTCCGAGACGTACACAGAGTCACCAATCTTGAATTGACGAGACTGTGCCTTCTTCCTCAGGATTTGCTGGTCTTGCTGAAACTCGACTGTGCTTCGGAGGTCTGGGAAAACCAGATCGAGGTGCGTTCGGAATTTCCGGCCCATCAGCACTTCAGCTGGCGTCTGCCTGGTTGTTGAATGCGGCGTCGTTCGGTACTTGAACAGAACGCGCGTCAGCCGAACTTCGAGTGTGCCTTCCACATACTTCTTCAGTCCTTCTTTCACCACTTTTACTGCGGCTTCCGCCTGTCCGTTTGATGACGGTTGGTACGCTGGGGTTCTCAGATGTCGAACTCCATTTGCTCGCAGGAACGCCGCGAACTCGCCACTGGTGAATGCGGTGCCATTGTCAGTTACCACCACTGACGGCAGTCCGTGCGTTGCAAATGTTACTCTCAGCTTGCTGATTGTTGCTGTTGCAGATGGTG